CACAGCAGTGAGAGGGCATGGCCCTGGTAGTATCATGTTTATAAACCTTCTTTTTGTTTGTTGAATAGTGTGCATAGATTTCTTAGTGCATGAGAGCTTTGAATGGGATTAGCATTGTGTATAATCATAATTGTGTACAGTTTTTTTTCTTCTTTTGTATGTTTTCATTTTTTTCTTTTGAAGCCTTGGAACAAATGATGTTGTTGTTTTTTTATATCTCTCAAGGGAGATAGAGGTTACTAGCCAACATGACAGCTATTTACAACCAACTTTTGCTTTAACTGTCTACTTAGAGGACTTTTCCAGGAAGTATGTTTCCTTGCGAATGACCTCCAGGTAGACTAGGTGCTCAAAGCACTCTTTAATAAATCTGAAAAGATATGCCAGTTGCAGTGGTTTGACTTAAAATTGTCATTTGGAAACAAATTGTTTTAACACACAATTCGTCTACTGAAACCATATCATTTGTTTTAATTTGATTAATGCTGATGCTATTTGAGAAATTGATTTTAACTAATTCTGTTCACATTTTAGAACCACTGCTTCTAGAGGCTGATATTAATGGGGAAAAAAAAAATCCTGATTCTGAGCACTTCTCGAACTTGCTGTGTGACAAGGTTGACATAGATTTGTTTACATGTTTAATGACATGACTCACTGTTCTATTTCATGTGCAGTTTATTGTGTGCTTTAACCAATTTTTAATATTTTTTTTTATATAGGATATGCACTACAGTTTAATTTTATTTTTTTTTTAATTTTAACCTAAGACAACACAAGAAAGTGGAGAGATTTTTTTTTCTGAACTTAACTGCACATGGAATATTGATCTTTGAATTTCAGGAACTGCCTTTTTATTTAATTTTTTATTTTTTTTTTGAATTTGTATAAAAAGGCTCGTTCTAAAAATCAAACATTACTGATCTTGGTGTCCCAGGGACACGGAAACAGTATTGTATAATATTGTTCATATTGTTTTGTTTTTCATGCTTTATATTTTGACCAGTGGACTGGAAGTGGACGGGAGCTTTCCCATGCGGTGAACGAGAATGCCTTGCCAGTCTGTTGGTCAAACCATTGTGAACATTCACTGCTGAGGCCCCCTTTCTAATCAGACGGCCCCAAAGACAGCATGATCTTTGCCAGTGAATCCCATGCCCTCCATCTGTACCCCACACTCTTCCCATTACATTTGCATGGCCTCTTACTTGTGATGGGATAAGCCCAAAAAAAAATGTTTTTAAAAAATATGAAAATTTATCTCATCACTACTGTAAATGGCCCAATTGAAATGCAGTACCTGGCAAGTACGTGGTCGTTAACATTCAGACCATAGCTTGAAGAGTACCACACAGTGGTGATGTCCAGGTACTAAGGATGATATCACCACTGTAAATACCATCCAGCATCTGGAGTCTGGAATTACAGGACTATTGATGTCCTACAGCTCAGCCTGCTGCCTCGTTTGGTTAGGCAGAGTGGCTGTCACAAATAAAATCACTTGCAAACGTCACTTTAATCCTGCAAATAGAGACAAGTGATGATCAATTCTTTTAGAGTGACATACCCTTTTTTTTTTTAAATTTAATTTTTGTAATTATTTTTTTAAAAATACATTCACGGAAAGCATATCGCATAAAAGTTCCATTTAAAAGAAATAAGATTTGGCATCAACAGGAAAGACTCTTGCATTGTGAGAAAACATGATGCCTGTCTTTGAGATGTCAGAGATATTAATGTGGCATTTCTTTTGGAACTTTTCCTTTTGCTCTAGAGTGTGAACAAAGCTGACTTCAGTGACTGTCGGCTACACCATGAATGTGCTTTGAACTGAAATAGCACGATTACCATACACTAAAACAGATATATATCATATCATATATAGAGAGAGAATTAACCAAACAGTACATCAAAATTTCTACATAGATTTTTGGATTAAAAAAAAACAAAAAAAAAACATGTCTGCCATTCAAAAAGAAAATGCAGTTTTGAAAACATTTTTAGAAAAACTGCAACCTAAGTGATCTGCCCCTGTTTTACTGTAAAGTCTTGGCATTCTTTTGATGTGCTCTTTTTTTGATCCATGTGAATGATTAATTACATTTTATCTTTTTTTTTTTTTTTTTTTTTTTTGGCTGTTGTTGTTCTAATGAACATTTAAACGACTAATTTAAAGTTTGTCAAGAGTTTTGTTTTGTTTTCTTGCAATAAGAAGTTGTGTACAAGTTTTTTAAAAACCTGGACTTCCTATTGCGTTTTTTTTTTTTTGTTTGTTATGTAGACCTTTTGGGCTTTTGTATTTTCAAGACCTTCAACATTTTCTTATCACTTGAAATGATTCTAACTTAGGGTAACCCCATGAACAGCTATGTAATGAACTCATTGTGTGTACAGTTTAGGGCTCTGTTTGGGATGGCATTGTTAACCCTTTGCATCCAACTCATTGTCATGACTAGACAATCAATGTCAATGACTAAACACTGTATGAATTCATGTAGTTAGGGATAAGGTAGATACATTGAATCTTAATGTTTTTGTTTATTTTAATTTTTTTAATTAGCATAGACTTTTACAATGTACTCACAAATCACCAAATCATGGTTATGATTGGGTTTATTTCAAAGTCTTCAGGAGTCTAAGCATATAGACATTCTGTATAGGATGTATACTGGAAGATTATCATAATATGGTTGGGGTTGGATGCTGTGTCCTAAATCTGACCTACATGAATCACCACTTTGAAGGAGGATAACCTGTACCAAGGGAAATAACAATGAATTCACTTCTACTACTTTCACATTGATAACGACAATTTGTATCAAAGTTGAATCCGACCATTAGATGTCACTGTTAAGGGAACAATCTAGCAACAGCAACTGAATGTGTTGCCACATGTTATTGAACTGTCTTGGTTTTGGGCTAGTATTATTTTTAAGAAAAACATGTGTTTGGGTTCATTTGATAATTATTTTTTTTTGTAAATTAGGAGAATGGTACCTTGTGAATGTACTGATATGGACTATGTTGAGATCCAAAGTTTGAACCATGTCATGTGGTATTTAGATTAGTGTACTATCTGGGTTGATTTTTGTATATAATGTTAAACACTTTCTTTTCATCTGTTGCATGACAAATTGTTTTATTTTTTATAAATATCCTTTTTTTAAAAAAAAATAACCCAGGTTTACTTTGTCCCATAGCATTTTCATTTTTTGACGAACCGTCTCCTGTCTTTTAAAAATATTTTTAGCACACACTTCTCTAGCTGTATTTAACGTCAAGTTGGGTTGCAGAGTATTTTTAATATAATCTCTTAAAGAAACAAAAAAACTTAGAAATGTGAACAGGGTCTAAAACATACACTGCACGCCATGTATATAGTCTGGAGTTAGACTCATTATTTAATTTGTTGTTTTAATTTTTTTAAATTTTTTTTTTTTTTGAGTTTCTAGTTGACAATTATTTTATGTGGCTTTGCTGAGTTTTTTTTTTGTTAACGTATAGGCAAACTAATTGAGGGTGGGAGTCCTTGTTAACGTACAGGCAAACTAATTGAGGGTGGGAGTCCTTGTTAACGTATAGGCAAACTTATTGAGGGTGGGAGTCCTGGTTAACGTATAGGCAAACTAATTGAGGGTGGAAGTCCTGGTTAATGCCGTCTTTTAAATGGATTGAATTCTATTAAACGGATGTTGGAATCTGAAAAATAGCCATTAACAAATTAACTGGAAATATTCTCTTGATGTTACTAGAATATTGTTTGCTGTTCAGTGCAGATGCAATTCTAATTGAAAACTTAGTCAAATTTACGGAGCATTTACACACAAATCAGTAAAAAAAAAAATTAGTACTTTGCATTAATATACTGAGTACATTTCTGTCCATATCAATCCCAGTAATAATTAGTTTTGGGCTTAGGGTCTGTGACATCCCTCTCCCTTTAACTCATAAGTTTTATTGGGACTAAATGTTTCAAATGTTTGTGTTGCTGAATTAAATTTGAATCTTGCATTTCCAACTGGAAAATGGAAACAAAGAAAAGCACTTTGGAGAAATGAAACAATATTTAGTTAAAAAAAAATTTGCTGTTGAAATTAGTTTAAAACAAAATTTTCCTTATAGGCTAAAAGACAACTCTTAAATGTCTGTATACATGACTCTAAAATACCAAATAAAATGCTGGTGAGAGGGAAGAGACGATGGGGTAAAAACTAAATCAAACCCTACTCTACCCAGAAAATACAAAAATTGATGGTTGCAATTTCAATTTTAGCATCAAACAATCAACAACATGGAGTCTGTCAATAAGCAGATTAATTTTTTTTTTTACTGATTTGTGTGCCTACAGTCCTTCACTCGAGTAAAACCCCAGTTTAAACTCCTGAACAGTACAATATCCTATTACCTCTTTTTTTGGTGTCAGCAACAAGTAATAGTACATATCTATGAAGTACAATTTTAGAAGAATTCAAAAATCGACTCGGGTCTTACTAGAAAGTTCCATTCTCTTCTGCTTCACATTTTGTCCCATTTCTAAAGGACTTGTTTAGAAGATATGTCTGCGATGTTTCAATGTTTAGTCCCACTCATCATTCATGTCACCTTGACTTTTTCTTTAATGTTCACCCATTGAATCTAAGCTTGTATTTGACCAGGGGAGAAGTTGTTAACTGTCCTGGGCACCTACATCAGCATCAGGACTCCAGCTCTTAGGGATGGCATAACCAGTTTATAGAAATATAAATGTGAAACATAGGTGGCTCTAAGCTGCTGCCACTGTTGGGCTAAAAGGAGTAGAAATGACTGTGCAGTACAACTGACCTACAGAGTCAGAGATTTTATATTGAAATATTTATCTATATATAGATATATATATATATATATATAGATATTTATCTATATATAGATATATATATATAGATATATATATATATATGTATATATATATATGTATATATATATATGTATATATATATATATAGATATATATATATATATATATGTATATATATATATATATATGTATATTTTACATTTATATTAGCGGTCTATGGGTGCACCAATTTTTTTTACTGCCAGTTCCTCTGTGAGCCTAGAGCTGTCCTGGTCTAAGCCCCACCTTCCTCTGAGCCAAGAGCTTTCCCTGGTCTGACATGTTTTAAACAAGTTAAGTGCAAGATCTGTATATTGACAGGCTTAACCCACATTCAGATTGACTTGTACCTGAAGGGCTGAGCACACTTCTATGATGACTTGCAAGTTTCATAAGGTCAAACCTGTGTGTGATACATGTCAGTGACTCTTCACCTCTAAAGGTTATTAAACCTCACTTGAGACAGTCCCTGACCATAAAAAAAAAAAAACCCAGGCCGACTAGACTGAGGCACCCAGCATTAACTGTATATGTAGAATCAACCCCCTTGCTTGAAAGTGTCTTTGACTGAAGATGTTGATGTAAGAACTGCTTTGATTATAAACATTTTATCCTCAAGCATCACTGATTCTATCCAAACCATAACAAGGAACTCAGTGCTAGATCATTGTGTTACCTTCTAACTGGGTTTGAAGTCTCAACTAGGGAGAACCTTTTCTATATACCAAGCACACATTTCTCTTGAAACCACATGTTTGTCAACAAAGGCTGTTTTTCACCCATTATTTGATGTGCAGGCACTATGAGAAGACCTGTGAGTTGGCATGCTGTTGTACACATTGAAGTCTGTAAAAGCAATACAGGTGTGCTGGTTTAGTTTTATACTATTTGTAAGATGCAGCTAGACCTCTGTATTTTATTGTAGATACAGAAACCTTTTGATACGATTAAGCCAAGTTATAGATCTAGGAGTGAACATAGACAATTTTGTATTGTAGCATATGGTTGAGGGACAACATTGGAAGGAAATATGCAATATTGTTTCAAAATGTATCCACAAATCTAGCTACAGAACAGCTTTTGGAACAATATTTGCTGAGAAAACTGCTCTAGGGCCAGTTAGAGATTACCTTGAACACTTGCTATGACATGTACACTTGGGCATTAGATGGGCAACTCTTAGTATTGTGCATTCTGTCAAGTCTTTTTTTTTTTTTTTGCTTGAGTGTCAGAACTTTGCCCAAACGGTGAGGCAATGATCAGAAATGCTGTCATGCCTAGAAATATGAAACCTAATCCATCCAATAGTCATTGAAGTTTTGTATTTGTTTTAAAATTAAAAATATATTTTTTTCTCCTAGCTCATGTCTTCTTGCTGGTTGTCCTCAGATGTCACTTTTTTTTCATCGTGTAGTATGAGGGTAGTAGTACATATGTTGTGCACATTATCATTAGCTGCAGTCAGGATTAAAGTTTTTTTTTTTCTTTCTAGGAAGTTAATCTTTGGAACAGAACCAAGCTCTTATGACTTAGTGTAATTTTGTTAGTACAGAAATACTCAGGGCTCAATTTCCACATTGGGTAAGGAGAGAGGGGGCGGGGGCTATTATTATTATTATTTTATGACTAATGTAGAAGCTTTTTTTTTTCTTTTAATAGTAAGATTTATCTGACTGAAAGCCTTGAGTGATACTATCTATGAAATCGGTGTGGATTGATTGTATCTGGATGTGGGAACTAGCAGTATGCAACTAACATAACATCTATTTACATTTCACTGTCCTTTTTTATTTTACTTTAAATACATTGTGACACTGCTGCTGGAGTTGGATCTAACGACATTGGAAGCGTGCATTGTTTTTAGCATTAACACACACATATATTGAACGTAGATGTATGCACTTATGTTTTGGTCAAGGGGGATAACCATTTGAGTAGAATAAAAGATATTTTCCTTCACATTATTTCTGTCCAAGCTTCAACCTAAGCTGTTTCTCTTGTCTCCATTGTTAAGTCAATGCATATTTGTGACCCCAGTCTAATTTCAGTGTGGGGTGTTTCGTAGCCCCTAATCTAATGTTAGTGAGGGTGGTTTTTAGCCCCAGTCTAATGTCAGTGGGGACTACGCAGCCCCAATCTAATGTCAGTGGGGTGTGTTTTGTCGCCCCCAATCTAATGTTAGTGGGGGGTGGTTTTTAGCCCCTACTCTAATGTCAGTGGAGGTGGTTTTTAGCCCCAGTCTAATGTCAGTGGGGGCTGTTTTGTAGCCCCCAATCTAATATCAATGGGGTGGTTTTTAGCCCGTCTAATGTCCATAGGGGAGTGGGTTCGTAGCCCCAATCTAAAGTCAGTTGGGTTTTTTTTTCTTGTTTTAAAGTCGGTCGGGGGTTTTATTAGCCCTAAAGTGAGTGGGTATTTTCTTCGCCCCAGTGTAGTATCTCTGAAGTCCTGAGGTGTTGTGTTGCCTTATGGACACCACATATCACTTGTCTGTTGGCATATGTTCACTTGTTGCAACGTTTGTTTGTTGCTGCAGACAAAATTTTTTTTTAACTTATTATTTTAATATTGAACTATTCCCACTATCTTTTTGTATTATTGATTTCTGTTAGGCATTTTGATACAACTAAATAAAAGCATTGCCCACGTGTTTTACAGATCGTTTGATTTGTTGAGTCACTGTTGTGTGTGATGGGTGACTGCTCTGATGGGATGCATGTTCTGAAAATGAAGACAGAATTCAACGGACAAAGTAATAATTTGGATGGCTACCTGATCGCGTGGTATGCGCTCTGATATGTCATTTAACGGTCCCGGGTTCCGAACCCTGCCCGCTGTCCTGAGGCAGTTTTTGGGCTTGGATGTAATAATCATCAATTCTGAAGGAACATCCGAAACGTAAAAACCAAACTTGAACTTTAATTCGAGCATTATGTATAATTCAATTTTCCAGATAAATCTCCGAGTTTCAATGAATTAACTGAAAGCAATACATTAAATTGACCCACATTTTTAAATTGACGGTACCGGTATAATAATGTTTACGTAAACTTTTTGCAATTTTTTACACCGCTTTTTTTTTTTTTAGCGGCCCCCGAAAGGTGAAAAGACGTATTAGTTTTGTGTGGTCTGTCTGTCCGTCGTCCTGATTAGAAATTAGAAGAGAGAATGAAAATCGGCAATATGGGGCAGAGAGAAAATCATATCTGTTGTAGATCAACCTGCCCTAAAGCACACTGCGACTCTGGATAAAAAACGTTCTGCCAGGATCTGTAATCGCCTTAGTAATACTCTAGCAAAAGCCTTTCCGACTATGCTAAGCAGTGAGTTGCCTGTATAATTGTTACAATCAGAGCGGTCGCCTTTATTTTTATAAATTGTAACTATGTTGGAGTCTTTCAATTCCTGGAGGACCATTCCTTGTTCCCAGCACAAGCTTAGCAGTTCATGGAGTGGTTTGATTAGGGCATGTTTTCCAGCCTGAATGACTTCAGCAGGAATGCTATTTCCTCCGAGTGTTTTCCCATGTGCAAGCATGTCAATGGCTGTGCTCAGTTCCTTTACTGAGGGCGTTTTGCCTCATTCCGTCAAAACTGGAAGTGATGGGAGTTGGAAACATCCTGATTCGCATATATTTTTTTTTTTTTACTATTGTGGCAAGCAAGCAAAGTTCTTTCCAAACTTCATTGGCCTCCTTCGGTCGTAGAGCGACTATGGTTCATCTCAGAGCACACTTCCTCATGTGGCTGTGGAGCCCTATTTTGGAGAGACACACCCGTCCACAGGTAGCGCAGGTTAAGGTGGCTTTTGCTTCGGTGGTAGAGGAGCTGGCCGTTTTTCGGATTGTACGTTTTTCTTCCTGAGTTGAGACCAATTTACCAATTTCCAAACTTACTCTGATGAAGACATACATACTGTTCTGTTGTCACAGATAAATAAATAAAATACTGTAGACATTAATTAACAACAACAATAATAATATTAGAGACTTTGTGTATACACAAGTAGACATAGAAGACTATTTTTTTTTATTACCTCACTTCCTGTTAATTACTTTCTCACAAAACATGCACAATAAACAATGACGCAATAGAAACATATTAGCACAGATACGATCAACGATGACGAATTTACGACCCTCGTGATTCGATGATGACCACTTTTGTTATTAATGATATCTCTTCACTGATTAGCACTACTTCCGTTTTTGTTTCCTGCTCATATCGCTTCAGTGTGACGTCATGTGTGACCCACACCTAACATTTTAAAAATTTATTCTAATCAGTGGATTTTCATATCTTATCTTATCTTATATAATACAGACGTTACTTCAAAAAAAAAAGAGGATGATTACGTCCTACGCGTTATGCATTCAGTCATGCATGTTAACCAATGACTTAAATTCTGCCAAGTCACTGGTTTTCCTGGCTAGCTTAGGCAACCCATTCCATGCTCTAATTGCACTAGGAAGGAAGGAGTATTTTTACAAATGTGTCCTAGCATATGGGACGAGGAATGTGCCTTTATTTTTGTGTCTTTCAGAGTATTTTATTAAGTTTTGTTATTGAATTTGAAGATTAGGGTTCAGTTTTTTATGTATAATTGCTACTTTACTTTTGAGTCTTCTGTCCTGAAGGCTTTCTAAATTTAGTGATTTTACTAAAGGTGTTACTCTAGTCAAATGTGAATATTCGTTTGTTATTAATCTCACTGCTCTATTTTGTGTCTGTTGTAGTTTCTTAATGTTTTCTTGAGTTGAGGGGTCCCAAACAGAGGATGCCTATTCTATTATTGGCCTAACCCAGGTGAAATAACATTTTAATTAACTCCACCAGTCATCTGTTCTTTGTCAGTTTTTGGTTTGTGTGTAAGATCCGATGTACGCTCTTAGGCAATAAAATACATTTAGAGGGAAATAGAATGACAGACAGTTGCAGAGCTCTCACAATGGCCTACTAGAGAGAATTACGAGAGATAAATATTCTTTCAACCAGGAAATGGTCAAAATTATGTCAAAACCCCCTTAATTCGTCGACATTGTTTCTTTCTAAAGTGATTGACAATTCAATTTCAATACTCATATTAGTAGAACATGACGTGTTTATGTGCGCACCAAGTGACATGCACACCAGGATGTATACTGAACACTTCTGAAACCCTAACTTTCGCTTTCAACGTCATACAAAGTTGCCATAGCTCATCTGTAAAGGGGCTGGGTTTTTTTTGGCATTCTTTGATTTGTTATTTTCCTTCTACTGAATCATGGATATGTCGTTTTACGCAGCTCATTTAAATCGCTCACTTTTGTTGTAAGCAAGTAATTAATGTTCTAGATCTAGTAAAGATCTAGATTCTAATATTGATTATCTAGAAAAAAGTAATATAAAAGATACGATGGGGGAACTTTAAAGCTCCAATTCTAGTCTAGATAAAAGATACAGACAGACTAATGAGATCTAATTTTAAGTTTAGTTTCTCTAGATTTAAAGATATAGATCTAGATGTGGAATATGAATTGTACCTATTTATAGACGATAGATCTAAAGGTAATAAATTTTACTTTGGGGTGAGTTTAGGGTTTATTAAAAGGAATTTCTACAAATCAAATAAGAACAAAAAAACTAAACTTTTATTTCACCTGGGTTAGGCCAATCATAGAATAATAATAATATGCATCTTCTGTTTGGGACCCCTCAACTCAAGAAAACACGAAGAAACTAGAACAGACACAAAATAGAGCAGTGAAGTTCATAACAAACGAATATTCACATTTGACTAGAGTAACACCTTTAGAAAATTAGGCTACTAAATTTAGAAAGCCTTCAGTGGGGCCTACAGAAGACTTAAAAATAAAGTAGCAATTATACATAAAACACTGAACTATAGGCCTAATCTTCTAATATAAAAACAAAAACTAATAAAATACCCAGAAAGACACAAAGATAAAGGAACATTTCTTGTTCCATATGCTAGGAAAAATTTGTACAAATACTCCTTCCTTCCTAGTGCAATTAGAGCATGGAATGGGTTGCCTGAGTCAGCCAGGAAAACCAATGACTTGGCAGAATTTAAGTCATTGGTTAACATTCTTGACTAGACGCGTAGGACGTAATCATCTTTTTTTTTTTTTAGAAGTAAAGTCTGTCTATAAGTTATATAAGATTTAAAAAGAAGTCACTAATTGTAATTTAAACTAATAGATTCTATAGATTAGGCTATATCTAGATCAGGGGTTCTCAACCTGTGGGTCGCGACCCCTTTGGGGGGTCGATTGACGATTTGGCAGGGGTCGCCTAAGACCATCGAAAATATGGATTGTTATTGTCTATTCTTCTATTGCTGTGGGGGGGGGGGGTCGCGGCAGAGTTGGGGATTGTAAAAAGGGGTCGCCCAGCATAAAAGGTTGAGAACCGCTGATCTAGATAAAGTCTGCCTGTCTCAATAGCATCCCCCATTTCTGTCCCATGACTTTTGTCGTAGGAGTGCTGTGACAGTTCGCGCAACAAAAATTCCCTCCAATTCTCTAAATCAGCAGCTGTGTTTAGCAGGACATCAAGAGAAAGGCCGGTAATAATGTAATAGTTAATGTTCTCTGAGGTTTCAGCATTGTCCTATAACGTTTCATAGGGTACGCCCATCTCCTCTCCTATATAGAATGACGCTTCGAAATGTCGTTTGTAGAATGATCCTCGAGATAGAGCCCTGACCGCCGATAGCTCTTGCTATCCTGTGGGAGTAGTGAATTAAAAATGAGATGAAAAATAAGGTACTGCGCCGACCAAGGCTCGAACCAGTGACCCTGGAAACGACAACACGATAACCGTGACCTCCGTGACCCCTATGTCGAAGGTGCCGGCGATAACGCACTAAGCGAACTTAACCTCGGACATCGGAATGTCCAAAAAAACCCATTCTTCTGGTCCAGAGTCATTTCGCCGTATGAAAATTTCCACCCCAGTGGTCAATGGTCACATGCTCTAGCTAGCTCCCTCCCCCCCCCCCCCCCCCCCCCCCCCACCTCGCCACATCCGTTCACCAACAACTTCAATAGAGCCGACACAGACAGCCGTTCGGCATGTATTAGACAAACAATGGCTCTATTTAATTGTGT